GGTAATTTCCGGGAACGCTTCGTTACTCAAACGCCTGCAGGTTAACTTGGAAATTGAAATAGTTTTGTAGTCTCCTTTATTTTGGAGGGAGGTTTTGGGTAATTTTCGGGGGGGGGGGCATAGCCACTTCACTACTCCAGCCTTCTTAGTTAAGCTTATGTCCATAAAATATATATCCATTGTTCGTTATATATCCATTGTTAATTATAACTTATAAGCTAGGTATAACATTAATATCGTAAAAAAACAGCTAATATAATATGCATCAGGCTATAATTGAATTAATAACTACTAAATACGAAATAATATTATATTAAACAATGGCATAGTATTATAAATAATATTATCTTGGACCGTAGTAACGAGATTTATTTATTTAAACACTAGTTTTTAAAATCACTTATTTACACGACCAAAGAAAGACCGGACAAACTTAAGGAGAAACGCTGGTTATAATGTCCATTCCGCGAAACTATGGAGGGGCGCCCAACTGAAGTGGCGCCTATAACGAGACATACTGCAGAACTGAGTACGACGAGAGGACCATCGGTGAGGTGTCGGACCGGAATGCCGGAAGACGTGGTCGGCCTTTGCGGTGACCCGGTCACGAAATCGTTGGGTCTGGACGACGGCTTGGGGCGGTGCACTACAACATATGCGGCCGAAAGCGAATCAGACGGCGGAGCAAGAGGATGGCTCGATGGCGGAGAAAAATATAAGATATGGCATGCAGCGGCGACACACGCAGCAGCCGCAAACGCGGAAAAAGGATAGGGAGGAGCAGGACACGTTTGGAAATTAGCTGCCGCCGAAGGACCACCGAAAGCATATGTAACGGAAATGCTGCCCGCGTCTCGGAAACCGGCCCGCCCGGCGACGGGATTCGTTCTGCAGTGGCGTTATGGGAAATCGGCAGGGCGAACCGGACGAGAAAGGCAGGCTGCGGAGATCGAGGTGCATATATAATATATATAGCAGAGTTGGTGTCGGAACCAGAGATGGTCGAAGGAGGAACTGACGAGAAGTGACGGTGAAACTGAGGGGGTAAGGAGCGACGTGGCAGTTCCACGAGAAGCTCGACAAGAAATATTTTTAAGAAATATTAAAACGATTTGACTGCATGACAAATTACTTACATTACAACCAGGCCGGCCAAAAGCCGGCGTGACAGATGAACCTTTACCTTAAACATTACCAAATATAACGACCACATAACATACGTAAGTTAAATAAGTATACAGTATTTTTGAACTAATATAGTGTTACAACTTATTATAGACCATACTATTATGATAATGTCGAAAAATCGTGAAAAATTTGTTTAAATTTGTGTAAAATTATAATTTCAGCATAATATACGGGTTAACCGGCGAGTTTCCACTAATTAATATGCTCGCCGGAACCAGGCCGGCCAAAAGCCGGCCACGACAAATCGGCCTCACCGCAGTAACCCCGAATTAAACAGTACCAAACAAAATCACAACACATAACATACGTAAGTAATAAGTAAACTATAGCGTTACAACTTATTATAGACCAATTTGTTAATTTTCAGTAAAATTATAATATTTCAGCATATACGATTGATTAACCGGCGAGTTTCCACCAACTATGCTCGCCGGAACTCTTGAAGCCTTATGTCGCGCTTCTCTGGACTGCCAACACCTTCACGCTCCTTACCCCCCGATCTGCAGTTTCACCATCACTTAGAAAATTCCTCCTGTCGCCATCTCCGGGTCCGACGAGCACCTCGATCAGCAGCCTGCAATAGCTGTCTACAGTCCGAACCGCCCGGCCGAACGCCTTGCCGCTGCAGAACGAACACGAGCCGGTTGCACGGATGCGGGCAGCGTTTCCGCGATCGTGGTCCTTTGCAGGCAAAGGCTGATTTCCAAACTTGTCCACCTGCTGCTCCCTGATCCTTTCGGTTGCTGCCACCGCCGCTGCATGCCGTATTCTTCGCCGTCGAGCTCCCGCACATCCTCGCTTGCTCCGTCCAGAGCACTGAACCGCAGTCGGCCGGATGTATAGTTGTAGTGCACTGCGCCGTCCTGGTCCGACAGCCCGTCACCTCAGAAGATCCTCTCGTCGTCTTTGGTGTGCAGTGGACATTTCACACCAGCGTTTCTCCTCGACGGTTTGTTCGAACGTCCGGTCGATGCTGTGGTCGTTTCAGAAAAAAGCATTAAAAATAAAAAAGAATTTTATTGTTTTATATTAATAAAGAAAAATGTACTAATTAACATTGATTATATTTTTTATTTTTGTTCATAACTCATAATACTTATGATATTGTATAACTAAAATAACTATAATATTATAAAATGGCATTTTACATAGTTTCCATATTATATCATTTATATCACGTCTTTTAAAGTTTTAATTATTACTAAATTTATTATTTTTTTTTACACTGAGTTATGACGAAGTGTTTTTGGTGGGTTATTATATTTTATATACAGACAATAACGTTTTCAAATGCATATCATAAAAATACAAAATATACCTACTTATAGTAATATAGGCTGACTGACTGTCATCGCTCAGAATCATTTTTTGCACTAGTATAATGATTTTTTATATTACTGAATTCAAATTTAACACTTCCATTACAATGACCGGCGTGACACCTAATGTACACTTTACAGCGGAGCGATACTCACTCGTCCACTTTTTTATTTGTTTTATACTTTTGCAGCCAACTACAGTCTAGTGTCTACATGTCACATCAACTATCTAAATTCTAAGTACCTAATTATTCGGATAATATTCTGAGTGGTACGATGGTTGACGAATGTAATATTATATTATAATTTATATTGTAATATTGTATTAAATTTACAACGATGACCTGTGCGAAAATAAATATTTTTTCAGGTTTGAAGTTTCGTTATTATAATATACCAATGTACCAATGAACGTGTATAATAATATGGTAAATCTGTGGGTACTGGGTTGTGGGTGGACTTTTATTATCTATATGATTAGTAACAGCAGGGGTACGACACTCTCACAATTCCTAATGCTATTTGAAAAAAGTGGGGACACGGCCTTGAACTCATGGGCACTGCCATTTTGTTATTTATGAGAATCAGCTGACGGGTCATATCATATATTTCAATAATTGATAGTTGATACTTGATACCATGAACTACTACACAGGACTGGACACTACAGAGAAAATCACGGACACAAAGTTGTACAGGGTTCGTACACATGCGATGTAACTGCACTCTGCCTGTTAGTAGTACGAACTACGTTTTTTATAGGATAACCACGGACTAAGATATACAGGACTGGACACGACAAGGTTGGAGGGTGTGGGGGGGTTGACTACGAAATGTTTTACAACAGGCAGTGTTCGGGGGGATATTTTCCTTTTAGCATTACTAGCGCCGTCCTAGTGGATACTTATGGAACTAGAACACATCATACAAATTTCTAGTTCCATAAGTATCCACTAAGACGGCGCTAGTAATGCTAAAAGGAAAATATCCCCCCGAACTCCGCCTGTTGTAAAACATTTCGTAACCACAATATTCATCTCGTGTCCAGTCCTGTATATCTTAGTCCGTGAGGATAACACTAAAGAATAGTGATATTAGTGATAATAACTGATAATAAATTTACTTTTTAATTTTTGAAAAACAATTATTAATAACACAGTTCAAGATAATAATGATACTATTTATAGAATATTATCAGAAAATAATTACTGCTTAAAGAGTGAACAGTTTAAGCATGAACTACTAAGGCGGTATTTTATATAACAAAATATTTCTTATCTCACAGATGGCGCTGTGTCGCATGTGTACCGAATATGTACAACTTTGTGGACGACCCCCTACTCTCCTCCTGCCAATAGTGTCCAGTCCTGTGTAGTAGTTCATGCTTGATACCATTATGATAACCACGGACTAAGATATACAGGACTGGACACGAGATGAATATTGTGGTTACGAAATGTTTTACAACAGGCGGAGTTCGGGGGGATATTTTCCTTTTAGCATTACTAGCGCCGTCTTAGTGGATACTTATGGAACTAGAAATTTGTATGATGTGTTCTAGTTCCATAAGTATCCACTAGGATGGCGCTAGTAATGCTAAAAGGAAAATATCCCCCCGAACACTGCCTGTTGTAAAACATTTCGTAGTCAACCCCCCCACACCCTCCAACCTTGTCGTGTCCAGTCCTGTATATCTTAGTCCGTGATGATAACACAGAAATGATAATAAATTATATTAAAATTTATAATTTATGTCGAACGTGAAATGCGAAAAATTATAAGTTAATAGTTGTTGTTGGGTAGCCGTAAGCCATATAGGCATAGAACGGTTAAGTTATAACTGAAAGTATTAAAACGCAAACAAACAACAAACCGTTTATTGTAAAAAAAAAATCGTTCATAACAACACTCCTAAACCACCAGGTAATCATTTACAACTTCAACACTAAACCACCAGAGATCGACCACCAAGCAGAGTGTCGCTTCTGTATTGTTCTGTGGTAACAGTGTGGTGGGCCAAAAGTGGTTACTAACATTGCTATCACAAATTGTGGTCGACCGACCGGCAAAACACTGATAAAGATATAAAAATATTATTTAGATTAGATTATTAAATTTTTATATCGGATATTCGGATAGATTTCTGCGACTAGCTACTAATAATTTATTTACTATATATAAATATATTTTGCTATGGTATAAGTATTTACTATTTTGTTAAATTATATAGTATATTAGTATGTACATAGGCACCTAGCATTTAGCAACTAATAACAAATAACTTATAGTTCTTCATATAAGATCAATAATAAAAAAAATAAAAATAAATGTTGTATTTTGAAAAACATACTTAGTAGGTACCTTAATTTTTAAACTAAATTCTAATACTCATTGTTCAATATATAAATTCCAAATACCAATAACAAACAGAAGGTCTAGTAGAAAAACAATTACCTAGGTCATTTTTTTTTAACTGTTAAATACATTTGGATAATGTCAAAACGCTATTTCAAAAATGTATACCTCGATTGTCAGGGAGTTGATTCAAGTACATCTTATGATTTTTGGAAAGATAATGTGTACTGTCTAATGGAGCGTGTAAGTCAAAATACTTCATCGTCGTCTGATAATGACTTGTATACTGGAACAACTGGAATCGCATATATGTTTTATCATTTATCTACATCAGAAGGGTTTAAAAACAATTCCACTGAACTATTGAATAAAGCAGTTGCAGTTTCAAGACTAACAGGACACAATTTATCTGAAAAATACTCAAGTCAATTTATTTGCGGTAATGCTGGAGTTAATGCTGTAAATGCTGCAATATATCACCAAATTGGTGATGAGAAATCTGCAGAAATGTATTTAGAGTGTTTTAAAAACGGATTAGCTGTTTGTAAGCCAATCAATTTTTTTAAGCCAGGAGGAGACGAACTATTTGTTGGTCGTGCCGGTTATCTTTATGGAATTTTGTGGTTAGAAAAAGTTTTTAATAGGAAAATAATAGCTGACCTAGATATAATTCAACTCTGTTTAACAATTGTGGAGTCTGGACGTAATTATTCTAAAAAAAAAAGAAGTATTTTTCCTCTTATGTACTCATATTATAATACAGAATATTTAGGTAAATATTCATATTAAAGCAATAGCAAATTTGTATTACAGAAAATTTCATAAATTATTAAACATTTTTCTTAGGCGCAGCTCATGGTTTGTGTACAATTCTACAAGTATTAATTTCATTTCCTTGTTTTATTGAGAAAGAACAAAAAGCTATGGAAGATATTAAAACATGTATAGATATACTGATAACATTACAAACAACAAGTGGTAATTTTCCTTGTGCAATGGATGAATTAAATTCAAGAAAAAGACCTGATAGTGATGAACTGGTTCATTGGTGTCATGGAGCTCCAGGTGATCAATTTATGTTATTATAATTAATTTAGAACAAATCATTTAAAAAAAAAAAACAATTTGTTTAAATTTAGAATGTGTAATAATAAATATAAAAAAAAGTGTTAATATTGTTAAATTAAGATTTGTTTTTTTTAGGTGTTATATACTTATTAGCTAAAGCATATTTGGTTTTTAAAGAACCTTCTTATTTGGAATGTTGTTTAAAATGTGGAGACTTGGTATGGACAAAAGGACTATTAAAAAAAGGCCCTGGTGAGCTAATAGTACATGGTATTGTTTGAATTTGAATTTGTTTAATATAATTTTTTATATTAGGATTATGTCATGGAATAGCTGGGAACGGATATGTTTTCTTACTATTATATAGGTTGACCGGCGATAAAAAACATTTAAACCGAGCTGTACAATTTGGTAAATTTATATTCACTGATGAATGTATTCAAGGATCTAGAAGACCAGACAATTTGTACAGTTTATATGAAGGATTAGCTGGCACAGTGTGTTATTTGAGTGATTTAACCCAACCGGAAAAAGCTAGTTTCCCATTTTTAGATGTATTTTAATTAAATCTTTTGTTGAAACCAGAATCAATCATCAAGTGAATATACATTGACACATTGTAAAAAGTGATATTGTATGTTTTAAATGTTTGAAAATGGATGTACAATTTTAACATGTTTTTATGGCATAACTTTAATTGTGTATGTTGTATGATACATTGTAGATAAACCATACACATGTTAATTAATTAATTAATTAGTGATTTTAGTTAATTATGATTTATGAATGATGAATGAAATCACAGTATAGATAAAGTTGTGTAAAATATTATATAGATCATAAATTGTACCTACATTGAGAATTAAATTAACTCTATAAGATTCATCTTTATCATATAAATAAATTATATTCTATAATTGTAATTTAAGTTTAAGCCTAAAGGTGTAAGCAATACCTTTTTTTATTGTTTATTCTTCATTATAATACTTTTGTTTTAAAATATAATTTTATTCAACAAAATATATATTGTTTAAAAACCCTAAAAAATTAATATATAGTTATCACTTATCAATAAATATTATACAGAATCACAGTTAAAATACTGAAAGATAGAGTAAATAAAAATAATTGTATAAATGAAAACACATTTATGTTTAAATTACTGTGCAAGTGGCACAACATTTAACAATAATATGGTTATGATTGACTTTACATTAGTCATTATTGGAATGAGACTGATTAGAGCACATTAACGTATTATGAAAAATATTTTGGATTTTTGTTTGAATTTCACTTCCAGAAAATGTTTGATCAACAGGAAACTCACGGGCTATATTCTTATATAGGGTTTTCATAGATTTTTTTAACTCACTTGAGTTTTCTTTTTTATTTGGCTTCTCTTTAACCAATGCTTCTAATTTTGTTAATCTCTCGTTGGTTCTTATATTATCTATTTTCAAATTTTCAAATTCTTTATAAAGTGATTCAATGCAAACTTTTGGTGCTGCAACAGCTTCAACAGTTAGGTTATCTTCAACAATTTCTTTTGCTTGAATCAAAGTAGAGTCATTTTTAGGAGCTGAATTTAGTGGTTCCTGGCTTATACTTTCTGGAAAATTATTTATGACATTTTCTTTGATTTCGTAAACATTCTTAACAGTCACAGTTAAACATAAACATTGTCGCCCATTAGTTAAAATTTTCCAAGCACCCATTTCAGCAACTGGTATGAACACAATTCTTTGAGTGTTGTCATTAACTCCTAACAAAGACCTTTCCCAGCCTTCTTGATTAACATTAACTTTCAAGTATCGGTTATCTTCAATGTTATTAGAAACTTCTGGGCCAATTGTCTTACCCTGAATTGTATTTGCAACATAAATTATCTCTACAACACTACCAAGAATTGCTGCATTCTCATTGCGAGAAGTATAATAAAGATCAAACCAAAACAGTTCCTTAAACCCATTAATTTTCCACAGTACAAATGCCAGATGCGAGTTGAAGTCCACAGAGTCATTTGTATTTGAAAATTCTAAATGCCAACTTTCTTTGGATACAAATCGGACTGTATTGTTTTCATTTACATTGTACTTGAAGTCTTTGGTTATTACAAGATTGACGAGAACAGAATTTTTACTACCATAAAGTAATAGTTGATAATAATTTAACTTCACATCTCCAGCCAATGCAAATCCATATTTACCAACTGCTGTTAATTCGTTGTTTTCAAGCTTGCTAACAGTAACTGCTTTCGCGACAATAGTTGCAACTGTTGGATTAGTCGCAATACATTTTGGACGTCGAATTTTATGACTGGAATCATTCTGAGGATTTTTGAATTCTTTGCTTTCAATAGTAAAGTCCATATAAAAAAAAAATGTTACTTGTACAGGAATTAATAATTATCAATTAAAATGTATTCAAAACAACATGATGATCAATGAACATATAATATTATAATTACTTATTAGAAACTTCATTTATGAATTATGATTATTTAATATTTATCAATTTATTGATATTATAATATGTTTATAGAATTTTAAATTTTTTATCATGAATACCAAATGATAACATAGTCACAATCAACATCACGAATTAAGCCAATTAAGGTATATTATAATCGTGTGCATAGAACAATCGTGCGTTAAATTGTTAAATTGTTCTATGGTTAAATCACAGAACAATAAATCATACAACGCAAGTGGTCGCGGTCTTTTAAGTATGAAAGAAAAGGCAGTTAGGTTATGTTCAAATATAAAAAGGTGGGTAAGTGTATGTCGCTCTGCTGTATAGTAGGTAACAAGTGGGTCACTGTAATGGATGGTGTTAAATTTGAATTCAATGACATAATATCATTGTATAAGAAAAACGATTCTGAGCTAAAACGGTCAGTCAGCCTACTATGATAATATTAATGTGACTCAAGTAATTTCTATATAACCTATCTACGTGGAACCTTGTTTTAAATTTTCAATCCTTGACTATAAAAGTTGAAAATATTTAGAAAATGTTATGGTGTATAGAAAATGGTAATATAAACATTCAGTTAAAAATTGCATGTACCTACTACGGTCATTTGTTTAAGAGTTGCGCCAAAAACCAAAATCAATGTTCTCGAAAACTGATTTTGTGTAAAAATTCCCGTTTTTCCTTAATTTTTCTTTTGTTTTTCACGGCGCTTTTGAAAACTACTGGGAAATTTTTACTTTTGGGACCCCCAAAGTATCAACTAGATTCACTTTCCTATCAGAAAAGATGCTGTTGAAAAAAATCTAGGCATTTGTGATTTGTACTGTCCTAAATGGCGATGATAGACACAAAAATAAAAAAATTAGAAAAAAAACACACATCATTGTAAAATCAATAGGTAGGTACATCGTTCCACTCAGAATTTAAAATAACTTTACGGGAGTCAAATTAAATTTTTACGAACGTTTGAAGTTAGACATTGGATATATTCACCCTTAAATTAACAATTTTCAAATAACAAAAATAAATAGGCACGCATTTTTTAAAGAAGAAAAGAATTTAAAGTTCAGATCTTGATAAAATATATCTTTAATGTACCTACTTAATAGTTCTTATAGGTTTCGAAAAAAAAATTTGTAATAAATGTATGAGTGATAGCATATTATGTGTTATTGCAGTGCAATATTATACCATAGTTCGTATCAAATACTATACTTTTTGTTTGCATTTGTATTTAATTTGTATTTAAATAATTTGTTAGAAAAAAAACAAATACCAATTAACTAGGTATTAAATTAATTTTGATATAGGTACGTTAATGTTAATAGAGTAGATAGAGTAGACATAAATTATAAAATATGATGCATAATTTAGTCACTTCTTTGGATATTTGCATCCTTCTTAAAATCTTTAAATTAAATTAAAACTATTATGATTCTGCTTCTAATTTTAATAGTAGTCTGGTAGAGTGGAATATTATTTTCTAGTGCTCATAAAAACTCTAAAAACATGTTAAAAATATTTTGCATATTTTCTTATATGATTAGGTATATTATTTATATTATAATATTATTCAATAATAGTTATCTTATAAACTTCAAACTAATTTTGAAAAATTGCTTAGTTTTTTTGGTGTTTTCATGTTTTTAGCACCTTGCTCATTTTTTTCTTTTGCAAGTGAATATCATTCTTATTTTTACATAATGCTTTATAATATATTTGGTTAATATATGACTGTGTATTGAGCAATCAACCTTTGTCAAAAATTTTGTTTATATATTTCTTCAATAATTACTATTGTTGTGTCGTTGCATTAATATATGAATGGCGAATGCAATAATTAAACGTTAATCAGTATAACTGCAGTTTATAGGTATGAATGATTATAACGTGTTTATTGTAGAAACAACATAAGTAAACTGAATGTCGTGGGAGGACAATCCCCCATCATATATATATATATATATATAAACATTTAATACGTAACAACTATGTTAGAAAAATAAACAGTGAAAAATGCATAAGTAGTTTTTAAATTGAAATGCAACATTATAAACATGATCTTTTACCGGGACAGCTAGTTATATAATTTATATTTAGATAGTTTACAGTATAATCTATAGTACAGTACTTCTCAATATTTTTTTTGTCATGAGGCTCCCTAAATTTAATGTAAAACTGTCAAGGCCCCCTTAATCAAAATTATTAATTGTTTTTTTTAAATAAGGTATATACTAAAATTACATGTAGTATTTCACACAGATGAATTATAAATTTTATAGTAAATTAATTTTAGATTCTGAGTGAAACGATGAATGTATTGATTTTACAATGATGTGTGTTTTTATATATTTTTTTATTTTTTTATTTTTGTGTCTGTGTACACGATAAGTAGTCGCAATAATGCTTCGATTTTCGACTTCAGTATCTTGTTTGATTGGAAAGTGAATATCGTTGGTGCTTGGGGAGGTCAAAGTTTAAAATTCCCAGTACTTTTCAAAAGCGCCAAGAAAAACAAAAGAAAAATTAAGGAAAAACGGGAATTTTTACGCAAAATCGATTTTTCAGAAAATTGAATTTGGTTTTTGGTGTAACTTTAAAACAAATGACCGTAAATACATGAAATTTTCACTGGTTGTTTATATTTGCATTTTATATACACGATAACATTTTCAAAATATTTTGATTTATTTTGAACTGTTTAAGCACATTTTCATTTTCCATTTTTTTTTTATTTTTTTTCTAAAAATATCAATAAAATGTTATTTGATGGTTGTGAAAGCTTGAAAATTTAATAGAAGACTCCTAGTATATTGTTTCAAAGACAGATGAAAAATATTAAAAATCCTTATTCACAATTTTTTTTATAAGCATTTAAAGTTCAAAAATTGACAAAATATGGAAAAATCACGAAAATTATTAAATTATTTTGAGTTAAGAATTCGTAAAAATTTTTCTTTTTAAATCTAAGATTTGAAAATGTAATACAAGATTACTCATACGTTTGTCTACCTTTATCAATAAAAAAATCTCTACCGGGAAGTCAAATTAAATTTTTATGAGCGTTTAAAATTCAAATTTTTACAACATTGGATATTCACTCGATTTCTCATGTAGCGATTTCCTTATTTTGTTGTAATTCAAAAACAAATAAATGTAGATACATGAAAATTTCATTGAATGTTCATATTAGCATTTCCCGCCATTTCCTGTACACTGTACAATTTTGAAAATATTTTGACTCTTTTTGAGCTGTTTACGGACATTTACAGCTTTCAACATTTTTTAGTTTTTTTTTCCATAAATATCAATAAAGTTTTATCTGTAGGGCCAAAAAGTGTAAAAATTTAATACAAGGCTCCTGATATATTGTTACAATATCAGTTGAAAAATATTAAAAATACATAGGCACAGTTTTTTTTTATAACCATTTAAAGATTGACAAAATTTATCAAAATCTCGAAAATTATCAATCATTGCAATTAATAAATTATAAAATGTTCAGTTTTTATAGCTAATTATTGCAAATTTAAAACAAAGGTTCTCATAAGTAATTCATACTGTAACCAAAAAATCTAAAAAATATATGAACACAGTTATTTTTTACAGACATTTTAAATTCAAATTTGGACGAAATTACATATTAAAAAACCTAGAATAGCTATTTTAGTTATTTTGTTGTGATTGAATAATGTTATTCGTGAGTACTTGAAACTTCTAAAGTGTACCTACTATTATATATCTATGATAGTATCACGGTTTTTGTTGATGTATAACGCGTTATAAGTACCTAATGGATATTGTGATATGATTAATTTTGAATTCATTATAGGTACCTATTATAGGTCAAATTTTGATTTTGTACCATAGATATGTATATAATATGTCTTATACCTAGACTGACATACCGTCTCCGCTCAGAATAGATTTTCTTATACAATGATATTATATCGTTGAAGTCAAATTTAATATCATCCATTATACAGTGACCCACTTGTAACCTACTGTACAGCAGAGCGACACCCACTTGACCAACTTTTTTAATATACTTTTGAAAAATATTAATAATAGTATTAAAATTTAAGATTTAAACTTTTTCCATAAACGCTTAAAGTCTAAAGAAAATCTACTGATCTACGATGACCATATAAAACTATCAACCATTTAGCATATAGATATGTTTCTATCCCCAGGATCTCGGTTAATACATAAAAATATATTGGTAATAGGCAATAGAATTTATTTTATAATATACTATAAATACTATGAATATATTATAAAATCAATGGTGATAGGTTCAACTGAGTAATAACTAATAAATGCTTATAAAAAGGTATTCAAAATATATAAATATTAAATACATTTTGGTAAAACATATAGGTAATATGAATACTAGAATAAAACTCAATATCAACATATTATTATGAATTGTATTTAAAATCAATATATTAATTAATGATTAATAATTATTATTTGTTAATTGTAACACTTTGAAAGCATTTTATATGATAATTTAGTGAATTAAGTCTTACATTTTTCGGTATAATTGCAGTTTAGCTACCATGGGATTTTTTTAAAATTTTTCTTCGAAACCTAGGTAAATAGAAGTTCTAAAAATGATGGTGACAAAAAAAATTGCTCAAATACTTAGTTTTTGAGTTATAGCCTTTGAAATTCAATAATTATTGATTTTTGAATTTGTTTTGGTGGGGTACTTATGTAAAGTGACGTTTTAAAAATGATGGTGCCAAAAGAAATTTGTGTAAACACTTGGTTTTTGAGTTATAACGGTTTTCCGCTTAACACAAATTCATATTTTTTTGTTTTCGGAACTTATGTAAATTTACAAGTAGTTGCAAAAAAAATCCCATGGTAGCTTAACTTACTTTTTAGTACCTACAAACCAGGCACTAATGTGCATAATAATCATTATGCTAAATGTATGAAGTGCAAGATGAAAGAAAAATTAAGAATATTTCTTGTCATTTATTCAGTTACTTAGGTACATGTCAATTTGTATAGAAATCAATCTATTTTGATTGCTATAAATTACTTTTAGTTTCATATACAACTTCAATTTTTGTAATTTTGTATCTTAGATTGCGACTTTAGTTATTCATTGCTTAAACATTTTTATATATTGATATTTTACATTAGATAAAATCATATATAAAAATAGAAATTAATAAAATATACAAAGGACCTAAAAAATGAGTTTTAACAAATAAACTTCAACACAATGAATTTACTATACGTCTATACCACGGTTACATATTATTAGACTAAAATGTTGGCATAAAAATAATAAAGACGGATTCCTGTATAGGAGTATGAACATAGAGTAATAAGTTACTTTTCACTTAACCTAATATCAAAATAGGTATTGAAATAAATTACATGTACATAAGTAAACATTTAATATTTGTTTGATATAAAAAAAATATAATTAAAACACATCTAAAAATGGGAAACTAGCTTTTTCCGGTTGGGTTAAATCACTCAAATAACACACTGTGCCAGCTAATCCTTCATATAAACTGTACAAATTGTCTGGTCTTCTAGATCCTTGAATACATTCATCAGTGAATATAAATTTACCAAATTGTACAGCTCGGTTTAAATGTTTTTTATCGCCGGTCAACCTATATAATAGTAAGAAAACATATCCGTTCCCAGCTATTCCATGACATAATCCTAATATAAAAAATTATATTAAACAAATTCAAATTCAAACAATACCATGTACTATTAGCTCACCAGGGCCTTTTTTTAATAGTCCTTTTGTCCATACCAAGTCTCCACATTTTAAACAACATTCCAAATAAGAAGGTTCTTTAAAAACCAAATATGCTTTAGCTAATAAGTATATAACACCTGAAAAAAATATATTTATGTAAGAAAGCATTATACTTTTTTTTAATACAACAATGAAAATGTCAACAAATTGTACTTTTTTTTTTTTATTATTATTTTATAAAATTTACAATCTGTATTACATGACACAATAAGTAAAATAGATGACTGACATAACACTATATACATACATACAAAATACCACATGAAACACATGACGAGGGAAATCATCCAGCGATGGTACCCTCCAACTTGTTAAATTCAAAAATACAGAATGTCTCACCTTATTTTTTGTCCATGTACACTCCCTTCCTATTTTACTATAATATAACAAGGTGATTTACCTATCATATTCAAGCCCCAACTGCTTCTTCAATAATGTAGTTATTCAAAATATATACTTAGAATTTTAAATTGTTTATACTTCTACTGCTACTACTACTAGGTACTTATGAAATGGCCTGTGGAGATACAAACTTGCTAACTCCTGCCTAAACTATAAAACATTTAAGACCATTTGAATATTTAATGGAAATGAGTGTTTAATTAAAAATGTTTATATATATTTTTAAGATTTTAATACGTGATTATATCAAAAATATTTATTAGAAAAAAGTTACCAATGAAAACAAATTATAAGAAGAATATAGAGTAAGAATAATGAATATATGTGACATACAGAAAAAACACTTTGGTTTATTTTGATAACTTATAACCATAGGCCATAGTGCATTGACAAGTATAACTGAATAAGAACTATAGTTATAAAATTAAAATCAATCACCTGGAGCTCCATGACACCAATGAACCAATTCATCTTCCTCAGGTCTTTGTTTCGATCCTAATTCCTGTATTTTAGTAGGAAAATTACCAGTGGATGTTTGTAATGATATCAATAAATCAATACATTTTTTGATATCTTGCATTACTTTTTGTTCATTTTTAATAAAACAAGGAAATGAAATTAATACTTGGAGAATTGTACATAGACCATGAGCTGCTCCTAAAACAAAAAATAACTTTGAAATGGAGCTAAATTATTTTAATTTTACGTCATAATATAACTTGCCTAAATATTCCTTGCTGTGATAACTGTACATAAGGGGAAACAAGCTTTTATTTGTTTTTGAATATTGACGACCAGATTCTACTATTGTTAAGCATATGTCAATAACATCTTGGTCAGGTATTATTTTTCTTCCAAAAACCTTTTCCAACCATAGAACTCCATAGAGATAACCTGCACGACCAACAAATAGTTCATCTTCTCCCGGTTTCAAAGAATCTATCGGCTTGCAAACAGTCACTCCATTCTCAAAATATTCTAAATACATTTCTGCAGATTTCTCATCACCAATTTGGTGATAAATTGCAGCATTTACAGCGTTTACTCCAGCATCACCACAAATAAATTGATTTGATTTTTTTCGATTAAAACTGTTTTCTCTAAGTTTTAGAACTTTGATAGCTTTATTTAAATATGTTGAGGGATCGTTTTTAAATTTGTTTGATATTGCTAAGTGATAGAACATGTATGCAATACCAGTCGATCCAGTATACAAGGTGTTTTTTGACGACGATGAAGCATTCCGATCTATACGTTGCATTAAGTTATTTATTTTATCTTTCCAAAATTCGTGATTTGTACTCAAATCACTTTCATCACTGTCAGAATATATATTTTTAAAGTAACGTTTTGCCATTGTTTTTGGTATTACTTACACACATAAACAATAAAACAGTAAAATTGTCAAGTCCATAGGTACTTCTACTTTGTTTATAATATATCAGATCAAAGTACTTTGTAATAATTTTTATAATAACATGAGACATGAATTATAAATTATAATAATTATAAATATTTATTATTTATTTATTGCTGATTGATATTAATTGTCCGAGCGTATTGTGCATTTAACTATTAAATATTAATTTTTCTTTACAATTTTAATATTTTAACTATCTTCGTAATTCGTTATGAAGTAATAACGTAATGAACTACACGTTTCACATTTCACAGCTATAAATTATAATGCTATATTATAAATATAGTATATTATAGTATCACAATTATTCACTAATCACTATTCTGACATATTATGACCACGATTAAAAGAACGTCACACCCGCATGCGTTGTCTCCGTCTTCCACACGTACATGGCAAATTTTCGTTTGCTTATTTCAATATTTCATGGGGTTCTTTCATTTTTGATATTTGAGTGAATATTGATATATTTGATACCTATTTGATATTAGAGTGAACCTATTATCAAACTTTTTATCTGTGTTTTTTCGTTGGTTTTTGACGATATTTTAATTTTTAAGGGCCGATTTCACCAACACAGATAATCACGGTTAACGCTTAATCGGCTGATAACAGATATTTAACCGGCCAAATTCGGCCGATTAAAACTCCGGTTAACTTTAGTCTTTAACCGTGAATCGTGATTAACCGTGTTGGTGAAATCGGCCCTAAGCACGGACTAAGATATATCTTAGTCCGTGGCCCTAAGTGAGTTATCAGCAAGGCTTTAGATAGTAATAGATTCTAACCAAAGGCCAAAGCTGTGGTAAAATATTAATATTTGAAAATGCTCATAACTCAGTGAAGCTACCGAACGAAAAGTTGGTAAGTCGTGCGTGTGTAAGACGGAGACAACACATGTTGGTGCGACGGGTATGCTGACAAATAGATCCCGCGTCATCGAGATCCCGGTAACCATTCTGATAAGAATTGATACCAGGTCCGAGTCATTCAGATCCCGAGACAAAATGATACTGAGTCATTTAGATCCACCGACATTTATAGTTCCCAGTCTATTTGAGACATCTAGATCTATTTGTTATTATGGCGGCATTTTTAAAATCATGAAATCTACCTCACCTTCAATCAACTTATATTTTAACTATAACAAATATGAAATAATGTATATAATATAATTTAGGTGACAAAAATATAGTTTATTTGTACTTATATTATTTTTTTGTATGTTCCTATGTCCCATTTCCTATTTAAAATAGGTATTACCATGATTAGAAATATGGTTTTATAATCAATGGTAGGTATTCACAGATATATAAACTTACTTTATATATCTGTACAGAGTTACTTTCAATATCTGTGATGGTATTACACTATTATCTTTATTATGATAAGTATCTCAGCTATCTTAGCATAGCTATTTTTAGTATATAGGTACCTAATTACACATTATAATTTATATTATTGTAATTCGAAGTTAATTAATTTTTACATCTGCAACACACCTTCTTTTGTAAATCGTTACACATCATAACATAGATATAGCCCATATAGGTACATAGTAATAGTTTGATTGTGTCTATTATTTAGTTTAGTAGGTACTAAAACCATTAGGTGTTGAAATAAGACTCGAGTAAACAGGTTAACTTCAATAAATATAAAATCCAGCATAAAAACACCAATAAGTCGGAAAAACGTTAATTCAAGTCCAACTAATCGGATAGGCAGCGGATATTGCAAAATAGACTAAATAGACTGATCTAATTATCTAATACTAATATTTATATACTATGGTACCGTATTACCGTACATTCTACCGCTACAATTAATGATAAAAGAATAGCAGCGGACGACTGTAGTACTGTACGGTACAGTGTACATAATAAAATAATAATAATATATAGGTACTACCAGTGCCGGATCTAAGTCTCAGGGGGCCGGGGTGCAACTACCAATGGAGGCCACTTAAAAAAAAAATTTCTTGACTTTACAATTATCTATTTATTTGATACGTTTTGTCGTATTGATATATTAAACAAACTAAAAAACACAAAATTTAAATTCCATAATTTAATAGGTAAATAAAATTATGAAATTATACATTCACTCACTGTTCTCATATCTATTATACCACGCTTAGATATTATGATGTATTAATCATTAATGTATGCTTCTATGCTAGTTTAATATAAATTAAGAATAAATATCATTAATATGATATTGGCTGTATATTCTCTACAGTCTACATTGTCCTAAAATTAAAGGACCCAAATATGAATCAGGTACCTCAGTTACCTGAATTGTATACAAAATTATTCATCAATCCTTTATATTTTTTTAATTCATTGTTTTGAAAATTTTTCTCCGTCTTTTAGATGCAACACTTTCAAATTGTCTGTTAGACGTGTTTTTTTTTCAAAAGTCAATAAAAGTTAGTGTAGGTAGGTACCTAATTTTTATTTTTAATAATCAAATGAAAAATTAATATAATAGAGTAGGTACTCAAAAATAAAACTGACAAAAGTACAAAATAACATATCTGAAACCAATAACACTGCATCAAGGCGAAGGCATGTCCGTAAATCATAATCCATTTATATTAAACAGTATTAATATTAAATACATATAACCACGGTTACATTATTAGTTTGTCCAGCAAGATACTGCACTAGCGCGAGTTCACGAGCCTCTGAGATTAAATATATAGTACGATTATACGAAAATAGTATACGATGCATAAGTACTATATAATATAATTAATGAGTACCTATACAAATAAATATGTAAAACAAACAATAACAATGATAAATAGTATTATTTATCTAAAATTCAAACCGTCCAAAATAAATGATTGTCACTTGTCAGTAACATCTTAAAATAATAAAATTTGTTCATTTTATAATAAAAAGTTATAGAAAGTTAGAAAATTTAGGACTTTACCCTTAGGCCCCTAATACAACCTTGGTTTTGAGGACCCGGTGCAATGCACCCCCTGCACCTCCGCTAAATCCGGCACTGGGTACTACACGTGCCTTACTGTCTTCGGTCGGATGGTCAAATTGTATGACGTTATAATATACGCCTAATCAAGTAATCGATATAAGTACTGTGGGGAAGTTACTTATTTTTGGTAATTAAATTAAATTACGAATTCCTAATCAAAATTCGAACTAAATTATTTTTAAGTTACTTTTTTTTTATTTGGTTAAGTTACATTACTTTTGAGTTTAAAAAGTAACTCAATCACAATAGAAGTTACTTTTTTTTCTCAAAAAGATCACTGGAGATTTATAATCATGTTGTCAATACAACAATACATAAACTAAATAGGTAATGACAATCAACAATATGAAATTATTAACAGATACTCATTTTGGTACACTATCATTATTATTTTTTTTATTTATTGAACTTAAGCCCGGCTATTATGGCCATTAGCTGTTGTCAGTGCCGGCGCTAGGGGAGGACAAATGGGACATTTGTCCAGGGCCCCGCGCTTGTTAAAGGGCCCCGCGCTTGTTAAAGGGCCCCGTGATTTTTAATTATCATCATAATACGAATACCGTGGTCTACCGTCGTATATTGCATTAATCTGCCTGCAGCGGTCGCGTACTTAGATATTAAACAATTTATTATTTTATTCAAACATTTTGATGAATTAATTTATTTTTAATTGATGATTTTATGTAGTTGTTAAAATAAATGTAAATTAATAAAATAACCAGCCCTTATGAATTTATTAGCCTACGATTTTCCACTCAAAGGTTTAACTGAAACTCACGCTACGCCACTAATTCTGTGCTGAGCGAGGTTTCATCAGGAGGAATCGCACTCGAATGTGTTGTCTCCATTTACACATATAGGTAAGGTAAAGTGGGGTAAGTGTGACGCAAAAATGAAAAGTTAATTTTGAATTTGACAATACTTTTTTTTTAACTTAAAGTTGTTATTGTTCCATAATGTAACACATCTAGATATACATAATTGGAATTTATAGTCAACAAAGTTATATTATCACTCACCTAAGAATAATTTTTTTTTTTTTTTAATTTTAAAACGTCACACTTGCCCCTTTTCATGGGGCAAGTGCAAAATCGGATTGTTTTTGCTATTAGTATTACATAAAATTATATATGGGGCAAGTGAATAACAAAGATAATAATAAGCTTTAATTTGATTTTTGTTTCATTAAAATATCTTGATTCATTAAGAATTGACAGAGCATTATTTAAATTTGATTATTTACCTATATTATATATAAAAACAGTACTTTTTTTAAAATCCTGATTTAAAAAAAAGCTAAAATTTCACTACTCTCTGAGAACCTAAAGGCTATTACCTATGACCAGGGCCCCGCAATACCTAGCGCCGGCACTGGCTGTTGTAGGGGATTATGAACCGAGGTTGGTAAGGTTGGTATGGTAAGATGTTGTTACTGTTGTTACGTTAGGTAAGTAAACACGTGTATGTGTGGCAAGGTTTTTACTACTACGAACCTGGGTGGTCACCCATCCGGGAACTAGTAGCAGCGGCCGTTACTCCCCAACACTGAATTAAGTAGGTATATACTATATTATAGACAGCGGGTTACAGCCCATGAATTTTTCATATGTTTTAGACCAATAAACGGTGGTAAATTACACAATATACTTTATAATAATCGAATTTAATTTCTTTTTATGTATATGTATGAATTCTTTGACAAACTATCTAGGATATTTAAGAAGTACGATTTTAAATTTTAAATTTTAAAGAACATTTAAATTAAGATGTTATTTTTAAAATTCCACGAAGTGATTAGGTAGGTACATACAATTTGTATTTACTTTGAGCACATCCGATTTTAAATAGCTTATAGTCTAGAAACGTATGAATTGAACCATTTTTTTAAAACTACAATGGAACTTGAGGAAGTATGTACCTATGTTTAATTTATTACC